GTCTCCGACCGCACTTTCCATCAGGCGATGTCGCGCCCTCCACTGCGCCCTTCCTCACAGTCGGGATGGAGGACGACTTCGCCTTCAGCTGGGTCGTCTTCGTCACGAGCGAAGGGCCCAGCCAATCGCGCCGCTTCAGCTCATCCGACTCATCCACCTGGGCGTATGTATGTGCGACGAGCTGACGCAGGTTGCACGCTGCATCCACGAACTCCGCGGACACCCCGAACGACGAGCGCCTCTAGGTGCTGAAACTCGCCTGCAACCTCCTGTCGTTACCGTCGCTCCTGGAGCGCTTCTTGGCGATGATGCTCCTGTTGCTACCGCCACCAGTGGCGAGCACCTGCGTCAGCCAGTTCTCCTGCATGACCCCTTTCCTGCACTTGCCGCCGCTGGTGGCGCTCATCGGCCTCAGCCAGATCTTTCGCATGACTACCCTCTGGCCGCTGCCGCCGCTGGTGGCGGATCTCTTGGACAGAGAGGATTGGGCGAAACACCATCGACACCAGCGTTCGGAGGCCTTGCGTCCGCCGCTGGCGCTGTCGGCTGCTGCCGCCATCTCCACCGCGACGGCACTGGGCCGCTCCCGCCACCTGCCAGAGGAGGCCACCGTGCTGCCCCCTGTCTCTGATCGTGGAGGCGCGGGGGCCACTCTCTCTCCATGCTGATGCTGGCGGCGGACAACAAGCTCTTCTTGGCCCTGAAGCTCTCCTGCACGCTCATGCCGCTGCCGTCGCTGGTGGCGTTCGTTCGCACCGCCGAGCTCATGGCGCGCGTCACGGTGCTGGCGCCCTCCCGTCGCTCCTGCTGCTGCCGTCGCTGGCGGCCGTCGGCGCTCGGATGCATGACCCCGTTTCTGAGGTGCTTCATGGCGATCTGCATGACCCTGCTCCTCAAGAGCTTCATGATGTTGACGCTCCTCTGCACGTGCTTGCTGCCGCCGCTGGTGGCGAACATCTGCTCCACCCAGCTCTTCTGCATGACCCTATCCCTGAAGAGCCTCATGGTGTTGAAGCTCTTCTGCACGTTTCTGCCGCTGCCGTCTCTGGTGGCGTTCGTTCGCATCGCCGAGTTCATAGTGCGCTCGACGGTGACCGTGGCGAACATCTGCACGACCCCGCTCCTGAAGAGCGTCATGGTGATGACGCTCCTCTGCACATTCCTGCTGCTGCCGCCGCTGGTGGCGAACATCCGCACCGAACAGGTGCCAACGCCGATGTGGCGCTCCTGCGCATGTCCTTTTCGACGCCAGAGTTCCTCCTCCTCCTCCGCCTCCTCATCCTCCTCCTCCTGCTCCTGCTCCTCCTCCTCCTCCTCCTCCTCCTCATCCTCCTCCTCCTCCTCCTCCTCCTCCTCCTCCTCCTCCTCCTCCTCCTCCTCCTCCTCCTCCTCCTCCTCCTCCCCCCCGGGGGGAAACGATGACAGGAAGGAGGAGGCCGTGGAGGAGAAGGAGGAGGTCGATGAGGAGGAAGAGGTGGACGAGCACAAAAGAGCTGACGAGGAGAAAGATGAGGTCGAGGAGGAGAAATGAGCGGAGATGGACGACGGAGAGAGAAGGAGCACCAGGAGGAGCTAGAGGACGGAAGGAGTACAGGGACGAGTGAGATGGATTAGATGAAGGAGGACGATGAAAAAGAGGTGGATGAGGAAGAGGAGAAGGAAAGAGGGGAATGGGAGAGGAGTGGGAGCATTTGCATTTTACGCTCTCGTACCCCACCAGGCTGCGCTACATCAGACTCTCACTGGCTCTGGTGCGTGTGGGCACCTGCGCTTCGCAACCATATGCTCTCGCTGCCTGGACATTGCCCGAACTAGAAACATATGACCATATGATTGTCACGCTCATAACGGGTGCTACTGTCTCCTACCACGGCAGGAGACCCGGGCGTTTGAGAAACCAGTGTGTTGAATTTCTCCACAACAGCGCCCAGACACGGGACCCGCACATGCTCCGAAATGTTGCGGTTGCTCGTGCGCCATGTCACCAGACATCACCCCCAGGAGCGCGGTGGTCCAGTTCAGGTTGAGTTTTCTTCCGAGGCCTCCTGCTGCTCTACGTCTCTTGACCGCTGCCTGTAAGCTCTCGGCCCTGTTGGACCTTTGGACCTCTGCGGAGAGGCGCGAGCAACGTGGAGCCGACGCGCCAACGCGCGGCCCAGGTCAGTGCCTTGGAGGTTGGTTGAGAACTCCACCGATCACGACCCCCAGAAAGCAAGACGAAGCCAGGGCGAGGATAAGTTTAGGTGAGGCTACATCGGGGATCTCTCAGATCTGGCGGCTGTGGAGGATGTCCAGGGGCGCCGCGGCCTCAGAGCGTTTCGGAACGCTCGGGGACTGATTTCTCCTCGTCCCGGCCCCGTCCAAGAGAGTAAATCCCTGAACCGGGACGCTGGGGGCTCACGGGAAACCCATCGATCTTGTTCGGAGCGGTGTTGGAAGTGTCCCCTCCGACTGCCCCTCATCCAGGACCGCCTTCCGCGTTTGAGCTTTACCCTGGGGTGCCGCACTGCTCCCACTCTGAGATCTTCGCGGGCGAGCGAACGGGAGAGGATTGAGAGGGAGGAGGGAAGAATGAAAGGGGGGTCAACGCCGGAGGAGCATAAGAGGAGGGGAAGTCGGGCAGGCCCAGGATTGGGATACATCGTCCCAGAGCGTTCTGGAACGCTTTTGGATTGCCCCAGAGCGCTCTGGAAAGGCCGCGGTGCCAGATATACAGTGGAAGCCCATGCCAAGAAACACCCTGCTTGCCTCCACGGTGCCCTGGGTTTCTTGGGTTTCGATGGTTTTGCTACGGAGAGCGTGACGTTCCCACACCAAGAATCAGTGGACGTCTTGGGGTCTCAGGGTTGGGTTTCTTTTGGAAGGTTTCTTGTGGTCGAGCTCCTACTGTACAGCCCACAGGGCCGCGCGACCTCTGGGATTCCCCCGAGTCGTCCAGCTCGGAGGTGGTCCCGATCCTGGCTTCGTCTTAGGAGCGGCGACGGGCTCCAGGGGCGAGGGCCACTGGATACTCCAGAAATTCTGGGACGCACCCTCCAGATGCTCCTTTGGGGACCTTCACGGGGCCCACCTAACGGATCTGTTCGACTCAAGCTGGACTCAGGTTCGACTCAAGCTCGACTCAGGTTCGGCTCAGGGTCGACTTCAAATCGACGGGCGTTCGACGCGGCTTCGACGCACGAGTGGAGCGAGTGACTCCAGGAAGGCCCCCAGGATGAGCATCCAATATCCTGAGCCATTTGCATCATGGCATCATTCTCGTCCTGGGCGAGAGGATTGGGGGCGGCAAAGAGGGGGGTGATGACTAGGGGTGTGTGGACATCGTAACGGGGGCCATGCTATCTCCCCAGATTTCACGGCGCCCTCTTCTTATCTCAATACGTCCCCGCCCCCCCCCCTAGGCCGGGCACATGCCGCTGGCCGTGATTTGCGCCCCCCTCTTGGACGACCCCCTCTTGGACGCCCCCGAGGGGAGGGCGGCGGAGAAGGAGTCGGCCACGCGCAGAGGGTGTAGGGGGAGAGTGGGGGAAGGCTTGTCAGAGGGAGGCTGCTTCTTAGAGGGCGCGGGCCTTGCATCCATAAGCAAGGCTGGCGCCTTCCAAGAAACAGCCTCCCTCTAAGCAGCCTTCCCCCTATCCCCCCTCTTCGACTACACGTGAGAATGACCCTTCGCCGGAGCGACCTCTGCTGCGGGCCAATTGGGCCCCCTCGCTCGCCGAACGCGATGTGGCCCTTGCGCGCCTGCGTGTGCCCCCCCCCCCCGCGGCCCCCAAAAGGCCGCGCACCGAGTGTCGCTCTTGCCCAGGGCCACCCCTGCGCATAGCCGACCGGCGCGCGCCGCAGAACGAGGGGCGGAGAGGTCTCGGGAGGGGAAAAAACACACAGACACAATTCATCGTCGATTCCCCAGAAAATATAGGAAATTATGGGAAGTAGGGGGGAAAGACAAAAAACCCGAACATATTTGAAAACGTGGGGAATCCTGTTACTTGTGTGTATCCGTTTGTGCGTCCCAGGGCCCCTTCAAGGCCGCGGGCCCCCGAACGGTGCGGTGGCCACACCGCGCGGCGGGCCGGTCGCGACTCGAGGTCCCCGCGCGGTCTTCGACGCGGGCCGTCCTCGGACTTGGCATCGCTCGGACGTGTGCATCTTTTCTCGGCGAGAACCATCGAGGACCATCCTGGACCACCGAGCCAAAAAAACACGCACGAAACCGAAATACGCACGGGAAATGGACGTCCGAGCGACGGCAAGCGGAGGACGCCTCGGGCGACCGCGGCCTCCAGGGTCCCACGGCCGTGCGGCGGCGGGCCCCGCGGAGTTCGGGGCCGGCGCGCGGTCCGTCACCGCACGGCCTTGTGGCCCCCGAGTGGGATCGCTGATCCTCGGGACGTGTGTTACTGTGCTTCGGATGCAACTCCTGGGAGGTCGAATTCTGATTTTGCCCTGGTCCGAAATCCGGCTTAATCCCGTTTAATCCCGCTTAATCTAGCTGAACCCCGCCCAATCTGGCTTAATCCCGCTTAATCCGAGGCCCACTCCGGCGTAATAGCTCCCAAATGGGGCTTGATCCTCCTTAAATCTTTCCGCCGAAAACCTCCCAGTAGTTGCCTCCTAACTGTGCGGGCCGAACTTCCGCACAATGGCCGAAAGTCCGTCCAAACGGCGTTCTCGCCTCGGCGCGGGCAGCACACCGCCAGCGTCACCTGCGCGTCGTGGCCAGTGTGAGAGCGAATCGAGAGGATGCCTCAGCAGAAACCAGCGTTTTTGGTTCAGATGGGGGGCTGGACGACGTGGACGAATCAGCCACACCCGCTGATCATTACATCGCCTGCGTCGTATGGCAGGGCCTCGGTGGATAAGCGCACGTTGGCGCTGACACGCGTTGTGAGGATCATCGGGGGGAGGACTGGGGGGAGGTCAGCTGGGGGGGAGGTCAGTTCCAGCCCTCTCGGTCTGCCTCCGCTCCCCCCGCTGCCCGCCCCGCCCCATGCCCCGAGGCGGCGTTCGGCCCTTCGCACCCCACCACGCTGGCTGCCGTGTACAGTCTCGCAGGCGCCCCCTTTGCCCTGCTCCTCTTCCCGGTCCTCCCGCCTCCCTCCCCCTCCATCCCTCCCTCCCCGTCCTCCCTTCCTGGCCCTCCTCCCTCCTTCCCTCCCGCCTTCCCTCCCTCCTTCCCTTCCTTTTTTGTTGTGGGCCGCCAGGTCGCCGTCGCCGCCGCCGTCGCCGCCGCCGTCGCCGCCGCCGTCGTCGTCGCCGCCATCGTCGTCGTCGTCGTCGTCGTCTTAGTCGCCGTCGCCGTCGCCGTCGCCGTCGCCGTCGCCGTCGTCGGCGTTGTCGTCGTCGTCGTCGTCGTCGTCGCCGTCGCCGTCGTCGGCGGCGGCAGCGGCGGCGGCGGCCGCGCCACGGCCCGGAGGCCTGCTGCAGGCGAGGGGAGCGGGGCCGTGGGCCGAGCGCCTGTTGCGCGAGGCGCTGGCCGCGTGCGACGGGGAGTTGGGCGCGGAGCACCCGGACGGCCGGGCGGCCAAGTCGGAGCGTTCAAACAACACCTCGATCTTCGATCTTTTCCTCCTCCTCCTCCTCCACCTCCTCCTCCTCTTTTTCCCCTCCTCCTCCGCCTCCTCCTTCCGTAGCCATTTTGGCTCAAGACCATGAATTCTTCAGGGGAAACAGTGGATACCGCTAGTCCGCGGCCGCTTCGCAAGTATTGGTTATCTTCCGACCCTCGCAGTGTGCTGCCCGGCCATTGCGAGTCCGCGGGCCGCCGTACGCTGGGCGCCGCGGGTAAACCGAGGTTTTTTCCCGTTCCTGCGGCACTCATCGTCATGCCCGAAGTGGTTAAGAGCACGGGCCTCGCCCCCGGCATCAAGTCCGCCCAGCGCGGCGAGAAGAAGACTCGTGGAAATGACGGCGATGCTCTCCCTCATGGTGCTGGCGACAGTTCTGGATCCTCCGCCCACGGCGAAGCTCAACATGGTGGCGCTTCCCCTCGTGCCCCTGGTGTTCCTGTTCCTCTTGTACCCGTTCCCATTCACAGTGATTCTGATGTGCGAGAAGAAGATTGGCGTGACGATGGCGACTGGAACGATGAATGCATCGTGCGCATCGCCGAAAAGCTCATTGCGGACAAGATGGTCTCCTACCGCGACGCGCTCGTGGGCGAGCTCACCACGGTCACCCCTTCCACCGTCGCCGAGCAGGTTCAGGACTTCGTCGCGCAACTGGCCGCTCATTATGCTTCTGCTGCTAAGCTCGCTGAAGGCGCCAAGAAACATTCCCAAGATGTGTTCGGACGGCTCCTCCCAGTTCTGTTGTGACTGGACACCGTCGCGAGGCGCTTCCAGGAGCCGATCGACGGACAGACCGTCAAGCTGCGAGCTCTCGATTCCAAGGTCGCCGAGCACGACGCCTCCCTCAATGCGCTGCGCGAGCAGATCCAGGAGCTTCGCGGCGCGCTCGCCTTTGCGATCACTCAACCGAAGCAGCCGCTTCCCTCCGCCGCAGGCTTCGAGCGCGACGTGAACTCTACCATCATTCGCGCGGTTTCGGCGAAGCTCGCCAACCTCGACGCTGTCAAACAGGTGCTGTCCGACTGGATCGTCTCAGTCGGGGTTCAGGTCGATTGCTTCGGCATTGTGTCCCCCATCCAGGTCAGCAAACACTTGTTCATGGGCGCTGCTGCTCCTGCCGCCCGTCGCGCTGCCAAAGTCCTCGGCGCCCAGCGTCCAGCCCCGGGACAGTGGCGACGCTTCGAGGTGGTCTGCGCCGATGGCCCATTGCCCCCGCTCCACATCGGTGCCGGCAAGAACCCCTCGTCAAATCAAGATGGAGATCCAGGGCCGCAAACTCAGGGATGCCTTCCGCGACGTCGACGACAGCAAAAGGTGGTTCTTCGATCGCGACCGCGGCTACATCATGGCTGGGTGGGATCCCGTCCTCCGCATGTCTCCGCAGCCTGGCGAGGTCGCGACTGAACTTTCTTGGGCCGACAATGTTATCGTTAAGTTGGGCCTCGACAAGACGGCGCTCGCCTCCGCGGCGAAGTCCATCGTCGCTCCTCCAGCGACGGCCGAGTGGGGTCTTTGACCCGTTCGCAGCGCTGCTTCACGGGCCCATGCTGCGCGCGCCATCCCTGGCCCTCACCTCGCGGAACACCAGGGCGCCGCGGCAGTGCCAGGGCGCGCGCGGCAAGGTCGAGCTCGGCTACGCCGAGAGGCTCGACATCACGAAGGGCATCGCGCGCCTGCAGGAGCTTCACCAAGACCGAGCTCTACTTCAAGATCCCTGGCCAAGGCTTCGCCTGGGCTTCGCGCGCGCGCCAGCTACTGCATGGGGCCCGCAGTCAAGGGCGGCGTTGCGGCTATTCTTTCCGCGGGGTGCCCGGCTGCAGCTCGGCCTCTTGCTCTTGTCCTTGGGCGCGCGCTACGAGTAACCCTTCGCTTGGGTGAGGCGGTTTGGGGTCGCTATAACGCACGCGACCGCGACCTCGCCCGCAAGCAGTCGCGGCGGATCTTCGCTGCAATGGGGTCGGACTTCGCAGCTGCTCAGCACGATCCACTTCGCGCGTTCGTCGTGGTGCACGGCGATTTCGATTGGTTTCTTCGAGCACCTCTCCTGCTTCGCCTGCCTGGCCGGCCTCTCCCTGAAGGCAAAGGGCAGCGCGCGCGTGCGCCGCGCTGGCCGCGCGCTCTTCGCTACTTCGCGGGGGTTACGTCCGAGGGGCCGACCCGCTTCCACAGGCGCCCCAACTCCGTTTCGATTCTCGACAGGCTGTGGGTTAGCTGACCTGGCCGGGCCCCCGCGCAGCTCACTTCAGAGCCCACGGTCGCTGGCGCGCCCGAGGTCATCGCCGACAAGTTCATCAGCGATCGCGCGGCGCGCGAGGTGAAATTCACCCAGAGGCGGCTCAAGCCTCGCGGTGCTCAGGAGATCCCCATTCGAATCTTCTCGCTTCAAGGAACTGCCGCGCGACGCCTCGCCCCGGCCCGACTACGCGTCGCTGTCGCCGCCGAGGCAGGTGGAGCTTCGCAAGTGGGCGATACTAAAGGTGGCCGAGCAGGTCCGCGACAGGGCCTTCACCTCGGCCCCCGAGTCCACCGCCGCGCTGCTCCTGCTCGCCAGGCAGGTGGCTCGCGCAGCGTGGCGCACTGACGTCGGTCTGGCCGGCGAGCGTCGTCGCTCTCATCGCACGGCCCACGACTCCCTCATCGTCGCGGCGCTTAGAGTCGAGTTGCAGCGCGAAGTGTCTTTCCAGCGCTGGCGCGAGGGCGTTCAGCTTCGTCGTTCCGAGGCTCAGGAAGCCCAGATTGAAGCTGCTCTGGCACGACCGCGGACTCAGCGCTTCCTGAACAACCAGCTGTCAGCCATTGAGCGCAAGTCGGCGACGTGGCCCCCGCTGAACCGCCGCCTCGTTCTTCGCGGTGTTAAGGCCTCGTCTGATGCCTCAGATATCGCGACCGATGGGGCTTTCATGGCTGGGGGGCTTATAGAGCACTGGGCAAACGTCTTCTCGCCCACGTCCATCGACAAAGACATCGCCCATACCTACACTGCGCAGCACGTTCCCAAGCTCGAGTTCGCCAAGGTTCCCCCGCCATCTCCGAGGCTTCTGCGGCAGCTGGCCCCTAAGTTGCATTACTCTGAGCCTGGCCTCGACTCTATCCCGCGCTCTGCATGGACTGCTTCGGAGGCGGGCCTCGCGGTGCTTTCGGAGGCGCCGATGTAAGTCATGCGCGGCCGGGCCCTTTGCAACGGCCCAGCGTTACCTTGCAAGTTTGCCCCCCCCAAAGGAAGCGAGGTCGAGGCCTCTCCCTCGGCCGGGCGCCGTCGCGCTGCGGGTTCGGCCCGTGTCTTGAGGTTGTGGAACGCGCTGCTCGTCGACTGGGCGCCGCGCGCACAGCGCCGTTTCATCCCCTCGCGCAGCTTTGGTTTCGACATCTTCGGGTTCGACACGCCCTCGCGCGTTCGTTCGAACCTCCCTTCGGCTAGCCAAGATGCGCCAGCGCTCGCGGCCCTGGACTTGGCGCTGCCTTCCCGAACCTTTCCCAATAATTCATGCGCATGGCGTTCGTGCAGATGGATGCCATCTTTGCCTTCATCTCCGTGCTGTACCAGCTTTACCTCATCTTGGAGGCTGTCGTTATGCTCAGCGGCTCCCCCACGCGCGCCTGGTGGGTCTCTTCAGGTATCGTTCAGGGCTGCTCGCTCAGCGGGGCCATCTACGCTGCTGTCACGGCCTGCTTCCTGTTCGACATGCAGAACCGCCTGGAGGCGCCCCGTCTTGGCACGGCGAGGGCACGCGCTGACGATATTGGCTGCGTCGTTCGCTCCCTCCGCTTCCTCTGTGTCCTTGCGGACGTCACGCAGGTGGCGGCTACAGTCGCGACGCTCTCCCTCAAGCTCGAGGAATGCAAGCTCGCTCCCCTGTTCGCCGAGTTCTCCCCTCAAGTGGTCGGCGGCGTCATGAACGCCCTCGTGCTCTCCCGTTCTTCTCCTCCATCCAGGTGGTTAGCACCCTGGTCTACCTCGGCCTCGTCCTGGGCCCTGCTGCGGACGACGGCTCTTGGTGGCGCGCCCCCCAGCATATAAGGTCAAGCTGCGCTCCAAGAGGGTTGGCGACAGCGCGTTGGCCTTCTCGCGGCTGGCCAACAACTGCGCCATGAGGATAACTCCCGTGCTCTCGTACGTCGCCCAGTACCGCATGATGCCACGGTGGCTGCGGCGACAGGAGCTCGTCGGTCTCTCGCGCACTTACAGGGTCCCGGGTCCCCCTCGGCGTCTTCGACATGACCGCCTGGCTGCAGTTACGCGCGGCGGGCGGCCTCTCGATTCCGTCCTGGCTTGCTCTCAGCGCGGGGGCTCTGGTCCGCACTGCCCTTCGCGCCCTGCCAGAGTATGCTCGCCCTCGGGAGTGGCATTTTCGGCAACGCGATCGGCTTGGTGACCAGCGCTCTCTACGTCAGGTGGCATCTTCTTCGCCCGACCCGTCTTTCTGGCAATCCGAAGTTTTTGTCGAGACGCTCCATAGGGCTGCAACGGCAGGCACTTCGGCGCCCCTCACTCGAGACGTCCCCGCAATTCACTGAAGTATGAACTTCTGGATTCAAGCGTCTGGGGGGCCAGAATGTGGGGACAGTTCAAGGCTTTGTATGGCCCGCTCGGATTGCTAGCATGATCTGGCGACCCCATTCGGAGGGAGTTCCCGGCCGAGGCTTCCTCACAACTCACTCAGAGACGACTAAGGAGCCCAAACATGACGACAGCTACAGGCTTTGGATGACCCATTCGGATTACTAGCATGATCTAGCGGCCCCATAAGGAGGGTATTCCCGCCTGAGACTTCCTCACAGATTACTCACGCACATTGCTTCCGCTTGATCATTCTTATGTGAGTGCATGCGAGCGTGTGCGAGCGAATGAATGACGTTGCCGATGATGATGGGATTGCTATGGTCGTGATGATTGCATGGCGATAGTGGTGATGATGATGGTGCGATGGTAATGATGATGGTGATGATGACGACGATGAGAGTGCGAGTGATGGCGTGTATGCGTGAGTGAATGGTGTTGCTCATGATGATGGGATTGTGATAGTGATGATTATGATCATAATTTGGATCGTGATAGTGATGATGATGATGATGATGATGATGATGATGATGAAGATGATGGTGTGATGGTGATGAGGACAAGAGAGGGCGTTGGGTGAGGTGTGAGGGCTGCGCAAGGTGTCCAACAATAATTACTCCGACAGTAGGATCCCGCATGATAATCTCGTCGGTCAATCTGGAATCAATCCTTGTGTTCGTTCCTGTGATTGCGGATGCTCTCTTCCTGCTTCTTTTGCGCCATTGTCCTCCCCCCCCTGGCGCAGGCCCTCATTCCGCCCCCTGCTTGGCCTCCTCCTCGCCATCCTGCCTTTCATCCCCCTTCGCCACCTCCCCCATTATTATTGGACACACAGGCCCATGGACATCACTCTTCTTCCGACTTCCGCTGCTCCTCCTCCTCCTCCTCCTCCTCCTCCTCCTCCTCCTCCGCTTCCTCGTCTTCCCTTGACTTCCCACGTCTTGCTTCTCTCGCAGCCCTCAGAGGCCTTGGCCCCTCCTTAGGGGCTGGCTCTTCATCCTGAGCCGTTCTGAGACGGCCCATGGGGCCTGGTCAGGGCCCCAGAAACCGAGCAATGGAAAAACAAAAACAGCAACATTGTGGTCTCGATGTTGCACGATGCGAGAAGGTGTGGGTCGTCTTCCCCTCCCACTCTTCCGTAGCCGCTGTGGCCCAAGCGCCTTGCTCCCTTCCCTCCCCCATGTTAGGATGCAGCTCCTAGGAGGTTGAATTCGGCATCGGCGCTGGCATATCCGTGGTCGAAAACCTGCCTAATCCGGCACAGTCCTGCTTAATCCAGCCCAACCCCGCTGAATCCTGTTTAATCCAGCTGAATCCCTGGCGGCTTCATCCTGGGCTTAATCCTGGGCTTAATCCAGCCTGATTAGTGGCCCTTTCATCGCTTGCACTCGCTTGTGACTGTTCGTGCGAAGACCTCCCTGAAGCTGCCTCCTGACCCGTGCGGCGGCACTTCTCTGTGCGCCCAGCCCTCCGGTGAGAATGGCGCCGTCCGGTGCCGCGGCGGAGGAGGACAGCGACGGGGAGCTCTCGGACTCCGCGCGGGCGGTCCTGGCGCTGCAGCGGGACCTGAAGCGGCAGGACGCCGACGAGGGCCCTGCGCCGAAGAAGGCCAGGCGCGAGGACACCCCTGGCGACAGGGCCGCGGCCGCGCCCGCTTCGCGCGGCGGCTCCGAGCGCGGCGGCCGCTCGCTAGGGGACAGTCGGAGAGCCTGGGAGGCCGCACGAGGTCGCAGAGAGACAGGCTCGAGGGCGTCCGCGTCCTCTGCGGGCGCGCCTCCCCCACCCCGCCCGCATACCCCAAATGGCGCCTCGCTAGTATTGGCTTCGCGTACGGGTGATCCTTCTCCGCAGTGACCTTTGGTGCGGGCCCACAGGATCCCCTCAGGCACTGGCCTGAAGCGGCCTCGATGGGCAGCTGTGCGTATGAGTGTTTCTTCGCTGGAGTGACTTGAAGCGCGGGCCCAGAAGGGTCCCTGCTGCACTACTGGCCTGCGCGCTTGGATCTGGCCTCCCCGCGACCATCGGAAACCGCGCACCAAAGGTCACCCTTGCCTACGGCCGCTCTTGCGTGCAGCTGATGTAGGGCACTGGGCGGCAAATGGGGCCATCGGCGCCCAGCAGAGGAAGCCGCCCGCGGGCCCCCATGAATCTCTCAATGCGCTGCCGTCCCTGACCCCCAACGTCGTGGTTTTCAAAACGTCGCTGATCAAAACGTCGCTAACCAGAGGTCTCGACCCATTCACCAGACCTGGCTTTTCATCCCGAGTCGTTGCTCTGATGGCCCCTGGGCGCGGCGAGGGCCCCCAGGGCCCGAACACGTCACAACACTTCCCCGCGACGCGAGGGGAGAGCATGCTACGCTGGGTTTCTTAATAAGCGTGGGGGGTACCCTCCCGACGGGGGTCAACCTCGCCTCGTCGTCGCGCCGCGACCGGGGTCGGAGTGCCTTCGGCGCGCGGTGGCTGCCCACGACGGGGGTCGATGTGGGACTGTCGGCGGGGGTGACGCCCCCTGGACGCTTATGCAGAAACTCGGAGTACGCAGGGAATGAATCGAGTAGAAGATGAAGTGTTGGATCCGTGAGTAGATCAGCCTAGGTATTATGATGATCAGGGGCTTTGATGTCTCTATTGGTTGTCGGTCGGCTATGATGCCAACCTGTGGCCACCCCGCCCTGTCTCCAGGGACTTCCCATCCCCATTTGATAGCAGGATGAGGAGACGGTCCGCCACCCCCGGCACTGCACATATTGTGCTGGGTTCGTCTGGGCGCGGGCCATGGATCTCTCGACGTCGAGGGCCTCCAGAAGCCAGAAAACAGTGGAAATTTCTTGGATCAGCATGGAAGGCGAGCGGCCAAGCGGTCGACAGCCGGCGGGCCGCGCGCAGTCGGGGTAACACGCCCAGGTTGAAAAAACATGTCGTCGGGGATCTTAGGCGTTCCAGAAAGGTCCTCCTCCTCCTCCTCCTCCTCCTCCGCCCTCCTCCTCCTCCTCCTCCTCCTCCTCCTCCTCCTCCTGCTCCTCCGCCTCCGCCCTCCTCCTCCTCCTCCTCCTTCCGCCTCCTCCTCCTCCTCCCGTCCTCCTCCTCCTCCCCCTCCTCCTCCTCCTCCTCCTCCTCCTCCTCCTCCTCCTCTCTCCCTCCTCCTCCTCCTCCTCCCCTCCTCCCCTCCTCCTCCTCCTCTCCTCCTCCGCCTCCTCTCTCCTCCTCCTCCTCCACCGCCCTCCTCCTCCCTCCCCACTCCTCCCCTCCTCCTCCTCCTCCTCCTCCTCCTCCTCTCCCCTCCTCCTCCTCCTCCTCCTCCTCCTCCCCTCCTCCTCCTCCCCTCCTCCTCCTCCTCCTCCTCCTCCGCCTCCTCCCTCCTCTCCTCCTCCTCCTCCTCCTCCTCCTCCTCCTCCTCCTCCTCCTGTCCTCCTCCTCCTCCTCCTCCTCCTGCTCCCCTCTCTCCTCCTCCTCCTCCTCCTCCTCCTCCTCCTCCTCCTCCTCCTCCTCCAATCCTCATCCCCACCTCCGCCCCGCCTCACTCCTCCTCCTCTTCCCCGTCCTCCTCCACCTCCGTCTTCCTCCTCCTCCGCCCTCATTGTCCCCATCCTCTCCCGCCCTCCTCCTCCTCCTCCTCCTCCTCCTCCTCATCCTCCTCCGCTCCTCCTGCTCCTCCCCTCCTCCTCTCCTCCTCCTCCTCCTCCTCCTCCTCTCCTCCTCCCTCCCTCCTCCCTCCCCCCCTCCCCTCCCTCCCTCCCTCCCCCTCCCCCTCCCTCCCTCCCTCCCTTCCCTCCCTCCCTCCCTCCCTCCTCCTCCCCCTCCTCCTCCTCCTCCTCCTCCTCCTCCTCCTCCTCCTCCTCCTCCTCCTCCTCCTCCTCCTCCTCCTCCTCCTCCTCCTCCTCCTCTCCTCCCCCTCCACCTCCCCATCCCCCCTCCCTCCTCCTCCTCCTCCTCTCCTCCTCCTCCTCCTCCTCCTCCTCCTCCTCCTCCTCCTCCTCTCCTCCTCCCTCCCTCTCTCCTCTCCTCCTCCTCCTCCTCCTCCTCCTCCTCCTCCTCCTCCTCGGTTACTCGGTTACTCGGTTACTCGGTTGGTGGTGTACCGTACAAGCACAGTACACTCACGAATAAAATTTTACGTAGGTCTCCTCACCTCCCTGAGTTCACGGCCTCGGGGTGGGAGAGCTACGGAATTGGTGATGGGTAGGCCGGTTCCTGGCAGGATCCTGCGTTTGAGTTTCCTGCTCTCGGACGATGCCTTCCCATCACATGGTCCACGAAGCTTGGGGCCCGCCTTGCAAGTGGTAAATGCACCACACTTCAAGCAGTAAACGACAGGCAGCCCCGAGCTCTCGACCCAAGCCACGTGGAGGTTGTGGTGGTTCCTGGGACCACTCAGAAATGCAGCAAGGGACGGGTTCAGACCATTGCAGTCCCGACTTAATATAACCTTGCGGCCCAGATACCTAAAACACAAGTTACATCTTCTCTTGCCTTCGTGGAAAACAGCCTCGTGCGGGGTCCGTGTCTTGGGAGTGGCCCTGGGACCCAAACGAGCCCTCCCCAGCTCGCCCAACTCCCCGAACGTGGGCCACTCCCCGAGCACTTTACCCATCCCGTGAATTAGGGTAGTGTACAGTTTGGGAATGGCCATGCACTCATCAGTGACCCTGTTGCTGAAAGCATGCGCGCGGGCAGCTAGCCCAGCATGGTGGTCTGCTAGCTTGTTCCCTCGCACAAAGAAAATCTGGTCGCTGGCAACTTCCTCCTCGGACCTATGGGCCTTGACTTTGGTGAGGCGGGGAGGGTCCCCAGGGCACCACCGAGCCACTTCCCGCCAAATATGGGCCATCGGGTTGGCCCCCGACAAGGCCCAGTGGTGGGCCCTCGCGGCTTTGAGGAGGGTTGCGTAGTCAACAAAAATCTCGCCTGACTGGCACTGATCTGCTGAGTATGTGGTGGCGAGCATGATGGCACAATGTTCCGCAGACCCACTAGTCTGCTCCATCGTGCCTGGTACAGGGGACCTTATGCCTCTGACCAGCTCGCCATCTTCGTTCACTTGAATGACTGCACATCCAGCTCTGGAACAGAGTTTGAGCTGGGGAAACAAGCACGAGCCATCAGTAAACAACATTGCCCCAGGTGGGAAATCGAACGGCGCCGTCTCCACACCCCCAGGACCAAAAAAATTTATATCTTGCGCCCAGTCCTGGGCAGGGGGCTCCGCGGACAGGTCAGGCCTGGCGATCCAGGCACGGCTGAACAGAAGAGACCCTGGGCCAGCTTCCAGGGCTTGTTGAATAAGAGCCTCAGGGAAAACCTCACTTCGGACAGCAGACGCACGCGGGCACGGGCAGGACCAAACGCGGTGCCACGCAGTGTCAAGATTGCCACATCTACTACACGCTGAGTTAAATTTGAAACCCCACCTCGCGAGGGCCTCGCCCGTCGGGGGGGTTCCACAAAACAACTGCTTCACTCTGAGCTTTTCTACAAGCGTGAGCCCGAGCTTGGTGGAGTTCATCCTCTGCTTGATGAGCTCCCACCACAGTCCTCGGGTCTCAAGGTCCTGTGTGTCACAATTGTTCTTCTCACAAACTCCCCGAACGTATTTCTGGATGTACGTATCTTTCAGCTGGGTGGCAAATCTTCTGGATACCAGGGCAGGGCTGACCTCTGTGAAATTGAGGGTGTCCCCGATGGAGTCCTGGAAAACCCCTGGGCTAACCATCTTCCATCCAGCCTCCTCGCACCAGAGTAAGGCATCGGTTATTGGTCCTCTAGAGCGAAAGAACCAATTTTTCCCTTTTGTCTCCTCAATGTGGCGGGCGGCTGAGTGCAAGGCTTTGCTGAGCAGGGCGGGCTTCAGCACATCCTTGTGGGCGTGCTCGTGCTTGTGGAAGGCCGTAGTCATCCACCATTCTGCTGCGATCCTAGTTATGCTCCTGCTCGCTATGTCGATCGGGTCCAGATATGTCGATAGAGCCCAACCGAGGTCCACTTGTGCCCCCTTGAAGAGAACCCCAGAGTCTTTTCCAGCAGAGGCCCTGATCTCCTTGATCTGGTGTGGGCTAAACGCATGGACTTCAGCGCCGTACGTTAGTGTGGCTTTCAAGTTGGTCTGGAATAACCTGTTCCTGTGCCCTGACTTGATCTTGAGCCTGGTCATCCTACACCTTCGAGCCCCGTATTTGATCCACCTCTTGGTTCGAGTCCTTCTGGTGCCCCTCCTGAGTCTATGTTGGCCTCCCGAGAAGTCCACGCCTAAGTTCGTGACGTCCCCGTCATCAGGAGCTCCAGCGAGGTCCCCGAGAGCCGCACGACCCAGCCTGAGTAGTGGCCCCGACGACGCAGCGATGCCAAACTTGTGGTAGGCGAGCGGGAGCTGCAAATCATTTACTAAATATGAACGGACCGATTCGGCCAACTCTTTGAGTGCCCCCGCCACCCACCCCATGCAATCTCCCCACTGTTGGAGAGTGAGGTCGTCAACGTGGAGGGAGAGGGATGCACTGTCAGACATATTTGTGGTGAATCGGTCCACACCTGGCTTGAGGAAGACCTTTGCCTCATAGGTAGCCGTCGTGGATCCTGCTACAATCCCGCGGCCTGGGTACAGTGCTGCGTCCATTAGACCTTCCAGCATAAGATGCCTTGGCCATTGGTAGGTCCCTATGGCGAACTGCAGCAAATAGAGAGGATACTTGCAATACTGGGC